TTTATAGATGAGTAGCACTGGTTTTTATAGATGAGTAGCACTGGATTTTATAGATGAGTAGCACTGGATTTTATAGATGAGTAGCACTGGATTTTATAGATGAGTAGCACTAGTTTTTATAGATGAGTAGCACTGGTTTTTATAGATGAGTAGCACTGGATTTTATAGATGAGTAGCACTGCTACTCATCTATAAAAACCAGTGCTACTCATCTATAAAAACCAGTGCTACTCATCTATAAAAACCAGTGCTACTCATCTATAAAATCCAGTGCTACTCATCTATAAAAACCCCAGTGCTACTCAACCAGTGCTACTCATCTATAAAAACCAGTGCTACTCATCTATAAAAACCAGTGCTACTCATCTATAAAAGCCAGTGCTACTCAACCAGTGCTACTCATCTATAAAAACCAGTCTTTTATAGATGAGTAGCACTGGTTTTTATAGATGAGTAGCACTGGTTTTTATAGATGAGTAGCACTAGTTTTTATAGATGAGTAGCACTGGAGTGCTCCCTAAGTGACTTTACATTTAAATAAACGACGAGTATTAAAATTTTTAAATTACTCATTTAAAGTTTATTTCTGTTTTGTTTTAATCACGGAAGCTTGTCATTTCTTACGACTTTTAAGACATTGGATACTTGTTGTAAATACAAGAAAAGTTAGGAGATTAAAGAGATTTTTCCCATATCGTAAGTTTGAAAAATTATCGTAGAAGTAAAAGATAAAATTTAACTCGTAAATAGGTAGTTAAATGTAAGAGTAACTGAAGGTCAAGGAGCTGGATATATTAAAAAATAACGTGCTGAGTAAGTTGCTTGTAAGTTAAAGATTGTGTGAGTAAAATATGAACTTGGGTTTAAGACGACGTTTCTTTTAAGCTTTTTTTTTCTTTCTCATACAGCTGTGGTTATTCTTGTCGCAATAACACGCTCCAAGATTTGGAGCCATGGTTCGCTAAATGAATGGCGTTCAAATTCCAGAAATTAGTGAAACAAAAGTAGCCTAACGATGAGTGCTGTTGACCAGTTCTCTCATTTCTGATCTATCATTTCTAAATTAGAGACGGCTATGTGTAGATAGCCCTTTGTGTAGTTTGTGCAAAAGTTTCAAAACAAAAAATGCTGTTGGAAATATTTTTCTTGCCGATTTCTACAAAAACAAACAATTATTACCGATTTCTACACCAACAAACAAGTGGAAGTTTTCAAACAATATATGTGTTATTTGGGTGAAGCGTAAGGGGAATATGTTGATGATCAGTGGAAGCTGGAGTGCGTTGGTTGACGCGTGTAGTTGAAAGCTTTGAATTGTCTATTGTGTCCAGGCTTGAAAAAGATAACGTCCAGGATTCAAAATCGTATTATTTCCGTTTCACAAAATGATTCCGAACTATTTCTAATACGAAGAATTTATAAACCCAGAATAATTGTAAAGTATTCCACAAATCTTATTGTACAACATTTACTGCCATTCAGTTCAGAAAGTCCAATTGCTTGACAAGTGATGACTTCATTAATGTTAATTCCCATCAATCAACGCAGGAAATAACTTATCACAGCACCACCTTACGGTACGTAACGAAGCTCACGTACAAGCAATTATTTGTTGGTGTAGAAATCGGTAATAATTGTTTGTTGGTGTAGAAATCGGCAACAAGCCATAACACAGAACAATACCATCGTTCACATGTTCACTAACAAATCTGTAACTTCGTATAAACGAGACACTAACATTAAAGATTTACTGGTGCATAGTTCATTTCCGAACAACATACAACTATCATCTGCTACCCAAGTTGGTACATACAGTTGTCAGAGGAGCAGATGTAACACTTGCCCTTACATTGATCATAGAACATTTGTTAGAGGCTCTAAATCAACGTATTCTGTGAATAGCCATTTCACCTGTACATCAAAATGTTTAGTTTATTGTATTATTTGTAACAACAGTGACCAAAACTACGTAGGAGAAACCTGCCGAATGTACACAAGAATACTTATCTAGCAACTTGAATAAAGATCAAGACAAACCTGTACCTCGGTACTTCAACAAAGCTTATCATTCTCTTGAGCACTTTAAAGTAATTGTCTTACGTCATGCACCCTCCAACACCAATAAAAGAACCACAAGCGAATAAGAAATGATTTTTAAATTAGTGTGTTTAAGTATTAACGAACGGTTCAGCCTTTTCTATTATATATACCCCTTTTTTATTATTATTTTTCTTTGCTATGTTAAGTTGTTTTATATTTCTAATAATTTTGAATACTGTTTTTTAATCACCAAGTAAATAAATTATGACCATACTTTTTAAAGATGATTTTTCTCTGAAAGTCTCATTTCTTTATTTTAACCCCTTCGCATTTTTCTACTTATTTATTGATAAGTTTGTAATTAAGCACAAAGCTACATAATGGGCTATCTGTGC